GCGTGAGCGGCGGCGGAGGCGGCAGCCTGGCGGCCATGGGCGGCCGCGAGCATCAGTACAGCTCGCTGTCGGCCGCGCGGCCGCTGAACGGGACGTACCACCATCACCATCACCACCACCCGAACCCCTACTCCCCCTACGTGGGTGCACCGCTGACTCCCGCCTGGCCCGCAGGACCCTTTGAGACCCCAGTGCTGCACAGCCTGCAGAGCCGCGCCGGAGCCCCGCTCCCGGTGCCACGGGGCCCCAGCGCAGGTAAGGGGTGCGCCGCCGCGTGGGAGTGGGGGCCTGAGGCGCTGGGCTGTACGGGGGTGTGGAACAGCTAGTAGACTTGGGCCTTGTTCCTAGGGTTTTTCTGTCTGGGTGCCTAGAGGTCGGCCCGGCCCCAGGGAGGATTTGCAGAACTCTGGCAGGGCCACCCAGAGTCTGGCAGTGTTGATGAGGTGCTTTATTTTGTGGATTGTTTTCAGTTCCTTTCCAGGCTTAGGGCGCGTATAGGTCTCAGTGCCTTGGAAGAAGCTCAAGGGACTTGAACAGTGAATGGGGTGGGTAAATCGGAGCAAAAGGTCCTGGGAAGGAACTGATAGGGCCCGAGACCTGTCACTGAGCCTAATTTGCCTAGGTGGAAGAATGAGACTCTGTTGGGGTAGGGGGGTAAGTTAGGAGAATGCTGGGCACTTGATTCACCCTCTTCTCAAATACAGTCTCACCCAGTTCAGCTCTCCAGAGGGGAGGAATTGTGTTTTTCTCCTGGAGAGTATTTAAGAGCTCCACGGTGGAAAAGGAGCTAAGGCGGGTATCTGGACTGGCCAGCCTCTTGCGGAGGGAAAGCTGGTGGAGGGGCCCTTTTGCTTGACATCAACTGGGCCGAGGTGTCTGGAGCTGTGCTGCTGCTGGTCCCTGCCAGGCTGGGACCCAGGGATCCTGGAGGTCCCCCATCAGTTCTTGCTCCAGAGTTCAACCCACCAGTTTTTTCAAGTTTTCCATGCCACCCATACTTTCCTTGCAGTATTTGCGGGCAATGTGGAGTGAACTGGGAAAACACAATTGTCGAAATATCTGGAAACACCCCATTCTGAAAAATGTTTTCTGCTCAAGCAGAGGAGGTTATGAACTATTGTGTCTGGGGCTTCTTCTTTCGGCTGCTGCAGCATTCTTGGTCCTATGTGCTTTTGTGGGTCTCTCAATTTTGTATTTAACCCGTTTGATAATCTGACAGACTCCTAAGACAAAACCTTTTTTTGGGGGGGGGCGGGGGCTGTTTGTTTGAAGGGAGCTGTGAGAGTCAGAGGTGGCAAAGAGACATGGGTCAGCCTAAATTATCCTACCTGGTGTCTTCACACTCCAGGTCCGGGCTCTTCCCAGCCTCAGTGCTCCGTTTTGGGACAACAGATCTTTTCAGGGGCCCTAACTAGTAGGATGAAGTGATGAATTGCCAGCCTTGTGTTCAAAAGACATACTGGAAATGCCAGTGGCCCGAAAGGGAAGGATCTGACTTGAACAGCCCCGCTGGTAACATTGGGAGGGGGACAACAGGCTTTTGGTATCTCTACCTCCTAAGATTCTGGTCTCAGAATTCCCTCTTCTTCCCTCTGCGAAGTTGGCCCTGGAGACCATCTTCAGCATTGTGTACAGTGGGTGTGGAGGACCCTGTTGAGTAATTGAGAGCAGAGCACTGTCACCCCGTTGTGCAGCATGGGGACCCATAGCTGGTTCCCTGGCTGGAGCTGAGAGACCGAGAGATGAGGAATCTCCAAAGAATGGGAAGGGTTAGGGTGAGGCTTTTGTCAGTCAGGAATCCAGCAGGGAATCTGAAAGGGCCTGTGAGTTGAGTAGGGGGCAGCTCCCATTGGAGCGAGATCCTGCAGCTTCACCTGTTCCAGGACACACCTTAATGTGGTCTCCAGATCCCTCTCCTCCAGTCTTCCGGCATTTCACAGGACTGAGAGAGTAGTCCCAAAAGACATCATCAGAGTCTTCCGATGTTTAAAGCAACTTGTTTTGTATAAAAAATCTTTCCAGAGGCAGGAGGGTGCCGTTGTAGGTGAGTTACCAGTTTCATTTTAAACCTAGCTTATTCTTCACCAACTTTTCACCTTCTAGATGGGACATTGCAAAGTTAGGAAAATCATCTGTAGATCCAGAGTATGTTAAAAAAAAAAAACAAACCAAAATGGGAAGGGGCTTGGGAACACCCAGCTTTTGCATAAAGAGTCTTTTAAGAAGGCGGGAAGCTACTGAGAATCAGCCAGTCTGGGGGTGGGGGAGGCGAAAGACCTAATTTTGGTTGTCCTCACAGGTGTTCTCGGGGTAGAGAAACCTTGACCTCCAACCCCTCTCCTCCCAGCTTCCTAGCTAGATTCCCTCCTTCTCCACTTTGACTGTTTAAAAAAAAACAACCATTTTTGAAGGCACTCTTTAATTGCTTTGGGCAAACAGCAGGGCTAAAACCCGAGCACTGAGCTTTTTCAACGTACACAGTGTGGAGGCCTCTGGGAACCTGCTCCATACACCTCTCCGATTCTGGTGGTGGGTGGGTGGGAGGGAGTCCTGGGGTGAGTCTTCACAGTGCTTCAGTCCCTGAGCCCAGCGCCCTCCTAAGCTCCCGCTGAACTGTGTTCCATTCTTCGGGTCCTGGGACGGCATTTGCTGGCCGTGCCCTTCTCCCCAGAGCTTTTTATTTTCTACAGGGGACCCAAAGCAGTTGTGTTAGGAGGCGATGATGAGTAGGGGGAAACTGATGAACAAAGGTCCAGCACAATTAGGTTTCCTAATTGTAAGTTTTTCTTACGTTAGTCCGTTGTAGGATTGTAGCTGCTGGGTAAGTGGTAGGGAGAAAATGAGAGCTGGAAATTTGATTTAATTAGACATAAGCAAACTTACTAAATTTTATTTATCCAAAGTGGTCTTTAAGTTTTGTCTTTGGGTTTTTAGATGACTAAAGAGATTTACCTGGAGAGTTCACACTGTCTTCTCTAGGGAGTCTTTATTGTTTCCCGCCTGGGGGAAGGAGGCCAGGCGTAGGGCTGTGTTCTCCAGGGAATGCCCCACTCCTCTATCGAGAGGGTCTCTGATAGGTAACATTTTAAAGTCAACAACTAAGACAAATACCTTGTTTAACTTCAGTGTCCTTGAAGTCCTGAGCATTTTACTGATTACCGTAGTCAATAGTGGCTTTTAGGGTGGAGAAGAATAAATCTTTGTGATGTGTTGTAAGTTGCGGTATCCCTGTGACAACTTTGAACTCCAGTTATGTAGGATGCTAGTTTCCTTTAAACTTAATTCTTGAGGAGGAAGGAGAGGAAGGAGACCTGTTTTGTAGGGTAAATAGTATTAATGGAATTAAAGAGTATTCATGCCAAAGACACATTTAAATATCTTTACAACAAGTAACTGATGGTAGAAACAAGCTGTAAACTGCCCGGGAATGAGAAAGAATAGAAAGGTTTGCTAGCACACATCTTCAAATAAAGCTTTAAAATGTAATGTTTATTTACTTCAAAAATTCAGAAATGCTTCTTAAAGCAAGCCAAATTTGGACATTTAAATCCTCTATAAATAACCCTAAACAGAAAGATATTTTTAATTTTTACGAAGTCTATTTTAAAAGTACTCAATTAGTACCTATCTCATTTTAGACAGTATTTATTCATTCATATTTAACAAATTTAAGCGGAAGTAATAAATGTTACAACCATTTACTCGAGATTTTTTCCTTATTAACAGATTTAGGCTAGTTGTAAACACCAAAAACTAACCAAATAGCAAAGTGACACAAACACAATTTAGGTAGATTGCATAAATTGAAGTTTAGTGTATGAAAATATGAAACAGTTTTATTGCGCACCGAGACGGTTTTAGTAATGTTCTGAATCAATAAAATATCAACTATTTGTAGAAATTTTGCAGATAGAAGCAGTTAGACCCATGTGGAACTCAAAATATTTTAGCGTTTGGTCCTTGTAGCATGAAAAGAAAACTTAATATTTATCTCTGTGCTTGTTAATGTTGGTGCTTTTTTTCCCCTGGGGAGACCTGAGTCACTTTCTAGCACTTGCCCAAGAACAGTATTTCTAATTTCACTTGTCCATTTTTTTTTTTTTAATTGGAGAAAAGGGTGACAGATACGGTAAATTCTTTAAAAAATAATTACTTGGGATAAAAGTAATAAGGTAGCCTGACTGTGTCCCAGGATATTTGCAGGTTTGGTGCAGGGGTCAGTGATCAGTGTTGATATTGTATGGTTTGCTCGGCTTGGCAAGTGGCACACTGTAATTATGATGGATTTCAGTTTTGAAACGCTTGGGAACAGCCGGAAAGGAGGGGTCAGGGGACCCAAACCGACTTCCCCACAGCTCATCTCAGCTCCGAGGTCCTTGGAGACTGAAGGCAGATGATTCGGGCTCGGCCTCCAGCACCATCTCCTACTGCTTTCCTGGGGTTTTACTGGGCGCGCCCGGGGCTGCAGAAGTATTGGACAAACGCTCAGCAGATCGATAGCGACAACGGGCGGCTCCTGGCTTGGCTGCTGAGCAGCAGAAAGATCGTGGGGAAGGGCGCGGGCGGGGAGGCGGGCAGCACGTCGCCAGCACTGGGGCCAGGGGTGCCGGAGGTCTTCCCGGGAGCCCGGGGAGGGGCGGGAGCGGCGCCGCCTCACCGGGCCTCTTGTCCCCGCTCTCGCCGCAGACCTGCTGGAGGACCTGCCCGAGAGCCGTGAGTGCGTGAACTGCGGCTCCATCCAGACGCCGCTCTGGCGGCGGGACGGCACCGGCCACTACTTGTGCAACGCCTGCGGCCTCTACAGCAAGATGAACGGCCTCAGCCGGCCCCTCATCAAGCCGCAGAAGCGCGTGGTGAGTGCGAGCGCCGCCCTCCCCTGCGGCCGGGCCCCGAGCGGCGCTTCTGCTGTGGCCCCGGCGCTGCCGGCTCGCCCCGGGCGCCCCCGCGGCAACAGGTGCGGCGCGGCCCGGGGCCGCCGGGGTCTGCCCGAGAGCGGGGACCCAGCTGTCCCCTTCACACCCGCGAGCGCCCGAGTGGAGGTTGTCCCGAAGAAACCAGCCTTTGGGGAACGAAGACAGCCTTTCCCCACCTTTACACCCAGGGCATGATGTCTATAAATGGGGGAGGAAGAAGGTGTAGGGAGCTATACCATTTTTTAAATATGCAAAAGTCTGTGTTGACCTATCTCTAGACGTACTTGTAAATGCACTAGAAAAATTCTGGAAGGACACAAGAAATTAGTAATGACGGTAACCTCCGGCTAAAAAAACTGGGTATACCAACCCAGATCACATGAAGGAGGGAGATCTTTTTCACTTCACTATGTACTGTTTGCTCTGGTTTGGATTTTATTCTTGAAAAACCTCCCTCCCTTCCCTATAGAATATGGCAATCACAAACCCACACTCCCTTTCTCCCCACAGCCTCATTCAGGGTTCCTTTGATTCTGTTCCTTATACCTTTGGGTCCCTTCTACCTCTTCTCCTGGGAGTGAGATAAATTTTAGCCCCAAATTCCATCCGTCTTTTGGATTGTCTTTGAGTTTGATGAAAATTTACTCTACCCTTTGTTATTTTGAAAATCTAGCTGTTCAGAACACTACATAGAACTTGAGGGGGAAAAAAAAAAGCAGTCTTATGTGCTTCTCAAGTTGGGATCCAAACGCCTTTTTTACTGTGTTTTAAATTATGGGAATTCTCATTTTCTTCAGGAATAAATCTTAGAGTTAGGTGTGGTTTTAGGAGGGGGCATTTACTGCTGTAGTGATTAGAGAAAATAAATGAAAGTGTTCACAGGCCCCACTGTAGGGTTAACATTTGTTTAACCAAGCACTCATACTCTTAATTTAACCTTTTAAAGTAAAATATTTTACAGTGAGATGCCAGACATCTTAAGTATCCAAGTAATCTATTTAATTGTTATACTCTTAATTAGCAGGAACAAATGCTACACATGTTGTTTGTGTTAAATAGATTAGGGTGATATTGCATCACAATGGAAGTCTGACACCTTAAAGAGAAGCAATTAGTTTTATGGTTGTTTTGTTTTTAATGCATTTAAAATAAAGTGGCTGAGGCTAATTTAATGTATGTGCCTTAAACTTGTTACAACTTCCAGCTTAAAATTGTCTTCAAAGGGCATCCCCTTCACTTGAGTATATGACTCCCTATGGTTTTCATTTCTTATGTATCATATTAAGAAAAGAAAAAGTAGTGGCCAGAAAATATTCCGAGAAGTTTGTTGTTTTCATGTCTGAACAGTGAAACTTTTTTTTTTTTTTTTGGAAAGGTACCTTGAGCTGAGTTCTAGCTGAGTTCAGCACGGTAACCTTTTCTTGAGATTGAGGGGAAAACTGGTAGAAGAGTAGCTGATTAGGTTCTAGTTGCATTCTGAATTTGATCTAGAAACATCCATATTTAGATAGTGCCATTTGTTTTGTGCACTTACCAGAAAAGAGTTTTTAACATCTCTTAATCTGTTGGTTTTCCTTGTGTGTGGCAGGTGTCTTGGCCGTGACCAACCAAGGTCAGCCATTGTGCTTTGTAAATGGGTTATAAATGATACCAATTGAAGGGCGTGTTCATCAATTAGTTCTTGTGGGCTTCTTATTTATGGTTTTGATGGATCTAGCTTAGTTCTCAGAATGCTGAACCCAAGTTTGTTTAGCCAGCAGTCCAGAACCAATCACTGTGAATTTGAACTTGTAATACATTGCAAAATAAGAGATTTATGGTGTAACTTGAATTCTTGTCAGTGATGAATATAACTGAGATCACTTGTTACAAGGAACTTTTATAACCCATTCACCTTCATTTCTCATGTTTATGGAGACTGGCTTCACTTATGATTTGCAGTTGACAGTCATAAAGTTCTTTGTTACAATGGCAAATTCTGATAGCAAGGTTACTTCACGTTGGCTTCAAATTCCACTGGAAACTGTCATAAATGACCTGTTTATAAAATGAACCTTCTTGTCCCTAGTTAACTGATTTCACATTTATGAAGAGAAAGGGGTGCTCTCTTAGGAAATTATTTTTTCCATAAAAGGAAAAAGAACAAACAAATCCCGATGTGTAAGGTTTTACATGTTTTTATCATTTTAACAAAAACAATCCCGCAAATGGTTTGCCTGTCAGCCAAGCATGTTCATTTCAGCCAAAAGTGAAATCGATTTTTTCTTAGCATTGACTTAAAAATGTTGTAGTGCTAAGAGGTTTACCACTGTCTTTGTTTTTACGATTTGTCTGTAAAGCATAGTGCTACAGTAATAGAATAGGATGTGAATTGTAAATGCAAAATTCAATTTTATCTTTTAAATATGGCAGCAAAGGGTTTGATAAATCTGTCCTTTAACCTGTGAACAGTCAGTACACCCTCAATTCCTATTTTTGTTTTACATTCTTTAAAACTGTTTTCTGAAATTAATCGTTGTAACTAACTTCCCAAATTCTTCCAATAT